AAAAATCATTCCGTTCCAGAAGCCCAGCACCCCACCACCCAAAACCCCAAAACCTTTAACTCACAACCCTCAACCCTCAACCCTCAACCCTAAAACTCCATGATTAAAGGAACCCTAAACCCTAAACCCTATGTTTGGAAACCCCCACGCCCTCCCCCCCCCCCCCCAAACCCTAAACCCTAAACCCTAAACAAACCCTAAACCCTAAACCCTAAACCCCTTTGCTCCATGAGCCGCAGAGGATGGCAGCGGCGCCCAGGCCCAGCGCCGGCCGAAGAACTTGTGCCTCGCAAGCCCTCTAAACCCTAAACCCTAGCCCTAAACCTTAAACCTTAAACCCTAAACCCTAAACCCTAAACCCTAAACCCTAAACCCTAGCCCTAAACCCTAAACCCTAAACCCTAACCCCTAAACCCCTAAACCCCTAAACCCCAAACCCTAAACATTGCAAACTCGATACAGCAAGAAGCCTGCAAGCCCTAGAAGGGCTGAAGAGTCTGGAGTTTGTTTTGGAAGGGGGATGGAGGTAGTAACGGGCCCTAACTTGTTTCGGAGTCCTGCAATGGGCCTTCGGGGACATGTGGTGCTGTTGTTGAGGAGAGACCTGCGTTCCGTGCATTAGGTTCGGGAAGCTCTGACCTCTGAGCCCTAAACTAGGGTGCAGAGGCTGCAGAGGCTACGTTTACCTTTTTTATAAACCCTAAACCCTAAACCCTAAGCCCTAAACCCGAAACCCTAAACCCGGAACCCTAAACCCGAAACCCTAAACCCTAAACCCTAGGCCCTAAACTCTCCATAAACCTGGACAGGTTCCAGGAGACCAGCCTGGGAGGGACGCCCCAGCTCGGCGAAAGGCCCTGCAGTCGCACGGAACTCCCTGAATAACCCGCAGTGAGGCTTAGGGTTTAGGGTTTAGGGTTTAGGGTTTAGGGTTTAGGGTTTAGGGCTAAGGGCTTAGGGCTTAGGGCTTAGGGCTTAAAATATAGTGTTTAGGGATTATAGGGTTTAGGGTTTCGGGTTTAGGGTTCAGGGATTACAGGTTGAGCTAACTTGCAAACCCTATCTTCAACCGTAAGCTTTTGTAGGAACCTTAAACCCTAAACCCTAAACCCTAAACCCTAAACCCTAAACCCTAAACCCCAAACCCTAAGCCGAATTTCCGACTAGAGGTTCGACCCGAGTTCTCCTGCTGCTTGGCATCGGATTTAGGGTGTAGGCATGGTGGGGCAAGGCGCAGCTGAGCTGCTTCTCCAGAAATGCAGGAAGCATTCGTTGGGCGATGTTGGGTCAGAGACAGGGTTTAGGGTTTAGGGTTTAGGGTGTAGGGTTTAGGGTTCATGAGGCTTCCGGGATTGGGGATCTAGGGTTTACGAACAGCCTTGACGCTTAGAAAACCAGCTGTGCCCAGAGGAAAGAAGATGCAAGTATATACCCAACCAGGAAGAGCATCGCTCGCTGTTTACGAGGGCATGTGAGTTAAAGCACTGCTAAGGTCTCACGCGCACACTCCGGTCTCAGTCTGAGACAGAGTCTGTGCAGCCCATCTCTTCGAGATGAGCGCGTCTGCCTTTGAAAAGCCGGGGCTGCATTAGAGCTCCGACTGCGTGCGGGCGTCAACACAAATCAGCGGACTCACAGCAATCAGGCAGCTTGAAACTGAACCTGAGAGGTCCAATTTTCATGTCTCTGGTATTGGGCATTTCCCAAACTAGGGGTACCCCGTTGTTACCCCAAATTGAGTAGAATCCCTTAGAGGGACCCCCAAAAAGGGTACCCCCCCTTTTTTCGGAAACGCCCGTATATGGATCTCGGCTGAACAAGCTATGAGCGGGCCCCGGCCATAAGAATGCCATGGGGGGACGAAAGATGAACTCGGCTATAATGCAGGTACTGCAGGTCGTATAAGAATCAAAGGTATAGGGAAGGTCCTTTACCGAGGTTTTTACAAAGGTGCAGGATGTCAATCCCATAACGGAGGGAACAAGGTTTAGGGGTGTAGCGTTTAGGGTTTAGGGTTTGGGGGGGGGGGGGGGTGCTACTGGGCATCTTTGAACCAGGGCGTCGTCGACCGAGATCTAGCTTTTGCGGCTCCCTCCATCATGGAGTCTGCGCAGTTGCAGAAGTTCGTTGTAAACGGGTAGGTCAGTCTAGAAAGACGTCCCTAAACCCTAGACGCATGGGTGCTTTTTCTAGAGCTTCGTTGTATCGTACTGAGACCGCTCCCATATCTCCCTAGGCTCAGTAGAACCCCACTAACCAACTCCTTCTGGATGTGGATTGATGCAAAGACTTGTAATTGGAAGTCCTGCAAACCGCGGTTTAGGGTTTAGGCTTTAGGGCTTAGGGAACAAGAAGAAGGCACAACAGATCTTGAACCCGAGGCACCCTTTACCACCTGAATTGCCGAGTGACAAAGTATTGGAGTTAAGCAGCCCTGCCTACAAACCGCTGATTTCCCATCTGCCACCTGAACCCTATACTCCCTAAGCGCATACAAAGCCTAAGAGCGCATTAGTACATACGTTGTAGGTACAAGCAGCTGAAATCCGAACCCAGAACCACAAAAGTATATTAAAGTATAGTACTCCAAAACCCGGTGAAGCATGAGCAATGCGCAAGAGCCAGCAGAAGACACGTGCCGCTTATAGGAACCACGGAGCGGCCCCCCAACTGCGCAAGCCCCTTCTGGTTTAGATGCCCATATGGTTTAGGGTTTAGGGTTTAGGGTTTAGGGTCGTGGGTGAAGCCCTTGAAGGGTCCTAAACCCTAAACCCTAAACCCTAAACCCTCAACCCTAAACCCTTTCAGGTCTCTAGGGTTTGGGGCTTCGTAAGGTGACTGGGATAGGGCGGCAGACGTTGGGCAGCTCTGGAAACGTTAGCACAAAGTGCAGCTGCAACGGCCGAGACTCAGGGTTTAGGGTTTAGGGTTGAGGGTTTAGGGTGTTCCTGTGCAGGGGAGAACTCCAGGGATATAGGGGGCCTTAACAGTTCCAAATAGCTTCTTGTTTTTTTGTTGGGGGGGTGAGGGGGGGAAATAAGGGACCCTGCGGTGTCGGAAATAGGGGTATCCTTTTTGGGGGGTCCCTTTAAGGGGATTCTATTCTATTTGGGGTATAAAAGGGGTACCGCCAAAGCCTATGTTGGAAAATAACCATGGTAAGAAAGGTGCGCACACGAATGATCAAGTCGGAGAAACGACGAGAGGCGAGGGATTAAGAACTTTTCCGCGTTGGGTTCTGGGTGGGGGGCAAGGATCATTCATTTGTTTCAGTTTGCTTCAGTTCTTGAATACCGCTGGGATCCAGGATTCAAGATGTCCTTGAATCTTGAATCTTGGTTATCCAAATCCAAAAGTTGACTGAAACAGGGTAGCATAAGGGTCAGTATAGTGGGGCTGAATAGAATGAATAAGGGACCGTGGTGTGGGGGGCGGGGGGCGGGGGGGCGGGGGCAAGGCGTATTCCTTCGATTGAGTTTGATTCAATCTTCGCATAAAGCCGGGTCCAAGATTCTAGATTAGATGCCAAGCAAAAGTTGTCCCAGGCATCTTGAATCTTGGATCCTGCCCGGAGCATTAGTATTGTTAAACATTCTTCGTTGAAGTATGGGAATAGGGTATGGGCTTTCGCGAAAAGTCTTCTGCGACGCGGGAAGAAGTAAGGTTTTGGAACAGGTTTACCCTAGGCTTACAGGAATAGGGCTTATACCGAAACATTCAGGATACACCTCGCAGTCATCCGAAGCATTACGATTCCCAAGCAATCTTCGTTGCGAACGTATGAGAGTAGGGTCCAAACCCTAAACCCTAAACCCTAGTGGATCTCTGAGGGTTCCTGCCCAGGGCCTCCTTGTTCGTCTTGCCCACTCGGTTCCCCAGCAACTCCTTAACAATAAGGGTATCCTTTTTCTTCCTATTCAGTTTACCCTAAACCCTAAACCCTAACCCTAAACCCAAAACAGGAACCCCCGAAACGAAAAGGGAATGAGGGTCCTACGGGGGGTCCCAGCTCACCTTTATTCGTATCAGGTCTCCAGCAACAAGAGCCCCACCTCCAAAAAACCCCTTCACAACCGTAGTCCAGTATGGAGTACTGGAAGGTTCAACGTAGTTATAAGTAGGGTTGTACATGCCCTTCATGGGGTTATGAGTGTAGTTGCCCTACTGATAACCCTACTTAGGACTACCCATGAACCTCCAAGTAGTCGGTCGGGAGGGCTACTTGGGATGTAAGAACTGAAAAGTTCTGGAGATATGAAGGACAGCTACCGGGACAACTTTGCGCACAGACACCCTAAGCCCTAAGCCCTAAACCCTAAACCGTAAACTAAGATTGTCTAGATGCAAGGCTGGTGAGCTTCTGCTGCGCGCGACCGGGGCAGGGATTGGTGGGTGGGGGGGGGGGGGGCACCACTAAGATCTCACACTTTCCCTGCCTGTCATGTTTTGCATTTTCATGGGGGGGGGGGGGGGGGTAGCACATAAAAAAATATAAATAAATAAATAAATATATATATATATATATGTATATACATATGTGCATATATATATATATATATATATATATTATACATGTACGCTCAAAAGCCCGAAATACATCAAGCGTGTAAAGTCTCCTACAGGTGCTTTGAAAAGTTCTCAAAAACGGGTGGCGTCGTGCTGGGGCGGGGGGGGGAGGGGTTAGCAGTTTTTCTTGAGAGTCTTCGTCACGGCCGTGAATGAAGTGTTGAAAAGGGGAGGCACCGAGCTCTCTTAGACCCGGTGCTGGGAACGATCGGATTACGCCGCAGTTCACAGACATGCAGTCCCTGCAAGTGATCAGGTTGTGGAAGCATCGGCTGACAACGCTAAGAATGCCTAATCTCCAGCTACGATAAGCCTAAACCCTGATACCCTGACACCCTAAACTCTAATACCCCAAATACGCCACAGCCAGCTTCCCCACATGTAGTAGTCGCACCAAGTACCAGGGCAGACAAATATCTCGCCCGGTCCATCCACTATGCCAAGCTCTCACTGCTGCTTGAATGTGCCCGCCGAAAGCCAAAAAGCGATCGGGCCATGCGTGGCATAGAAAGCAGCGTCCTCCTGACTTGACCTGGACACAGCTACACCCCGAAGCCCTTCACCTCTCTCCATAGCGTGCTGTTTCAGTCTCTCTCTCGCTCTCTCTCTCTCTTTTTGCTTGTGGTTGGGGGGGAGGGGTCGAGCGTTGCATTGAACTCCGTAGGCCCTCCGGTCTTTGCAGAAGGCGCAGGGACTTCGAGGTCCGGGCTTAGCATTGGGGAAGTGGCAGCTCCCAACATGCTCATGTAACCCTAAACCCTAAACCCTAAACCCTAAACCCTAGACCCTAAACCCTAAACCGCCTGAACCCTAAACCCTAAACCCATACCCTATACCCTAAAGCCTAAACCACCCTCCTAGGGAAACATCTAGCACTCAACAAGGCAGGCAATTTCAGATGCAGCTCGTCTCTGTCGTACACAAAACTAGACGCTAAGCCCACTGGCCAAATACGGTTCGCCTAGGTTTTCATGCAACGCGCAGAAGAACCCACGAAACAAACTTCCATCCGACGTAGGGAGAGATCCAAGAGGCCAAGCCAAACTTGTCATGTTCCAGTAGAGAGCTCAAAAGTCCGGAAAGACTTGAACCGAATCCTGTTCGCCCCGCGCAGCGACATCTACCCTACAGATCCTGCGCACATTACTTCAACGGTAAGCTTTCTACTCTCATCATGAGCTTGTCGTACTTCATTTGCAAAGCCACCGCAAACCCAACAAAATGAACCCAAACAAGTTACACAAAGCAAACACTATGTCATGAAGACCAAAAAACGGAGACCCTAAACAGATCTGCAAATCTCTTTCCCCGGCCTCCCATAAAACAACATCGTGCACATGTGTCCATAAACTTATGGATAGATAATCACATGGTATATGGATACATATCTATATATTTATATTTATATTCATTTTTGATTTTTAAATATATATATATATATATACACAGATGTATACAGACATACGTAAACTAGCCTTATTGAATCTATCAAGCCATGCAGCGCCCTCGATTCGCCCCAACTTCTCTTGCCCCCACGCCAAGGCACGCAAGGGCTGTTGGCCCGCCGCCGCAACCCCCTTGAGGTTTAGGGTTTAGGTTTAGGGTTTAGGGTTTAGGGTTTAGGGTTTAGGGTTTAGGGTTTAGGGTTTAGGGTTTAGGGGGCATTTGGGCTCAGGAGGGTTCGGTATTTCTGCTTCTTCTGATTGTGACAGGGCCACAGCACCTTAAGGGGTCAAGCCCTCAGGGTCGTACCTATCCGCTATCCGATCCGGTCATACCCCACACGAACTACCCAAGTGTTGGGCCCGAATTCGCCACCTATTGTTGGGGTGGGGGTAGTATGAGGGGTTTAGGGTTTAGGGCTTCGGGTTTAGGGTAGACCTTAAACCCCCGGCCGCCTTCCAGGCTACAAAGACGGCCCGAATGTCCACGGACTGATTGCCGGCGCCCGAGGTCATCAAGCTTGACAGTCCTTTGTGATTCTGGGGAAACTCTGGGTGTCTAGTTTTTATTTGTAGGCATCAATTCAGGTTCAGGCTATAACTGCCTACACCCCACAAAAAACCTAAACCCTAAACCCCTGAACCCCGAAAACCCGAAAGGCTGTAGAGGCTGATGGGAGGATACCCTGGTCTCTTTTTGGGTAGGGATTAGGGATTAGGGCTTAGGCTTACCATTTCAAGGCTCTAGCCCAATGACTTGCCCTAAACTTTTTGTTGGGAGGGGTAAAAGTGGGGTAGCTCGGACACCCCTCCAATTCCTGTAACATGTTGCTTAAACCGTAAACCCTAAACCCTGAACCCTAACCATAACCCTTTTGTCAAGAGTCGTAGCATCTTGCTGACCTGCTCATCATCGCCGAAGAGGTCCGTCGCTTCGTCCTGGAGGGAAGGTTTCGGGTTCAAGGGTTTAGGGTTTAGGGTTAGGTTTTAGGGTTTGGGGTTTATTTAGGGTGCAGGGTTTAGGGTTTAGGGTGTAGAGTTTAGGGTTTAGGATGTTTGGGGTTCAGGCTTCTAGGGCTCTCCCAAATCTCAGAGGGGTGTTTTGGGTTCAAGGGTTTGGGGTTTGGTTCTGTGAAGGGGAACCATCAGGCATGTGTGGATGGACTTGAGGACGCAGGTTCTCATGCCACTGCTTGAGCAAGCCCAAGCATTGCTGCTCTTGCCGGGCTTAGGGTTTACCGTGCCCTACGAAAACAAGCCGCAAACCCTGAATTCCAGCCCTAAAAGCCACAACACCTTGCCTCCACGCAGTTGAAGCAGTCGCTGAGCGACTTCAAGAAGAGCCGCGCATAGAGTGCAAAGAGGTCCATGTGGGAGCTTCGCGCAATCACCTCCCCATCACCCTAAACTTAGGACTCTGGAAACCTTCCTAAACCCTAAATCCCAAACCCTAAACCGAAATCTTTATCACTTGTGCAGCTTCGTCTTCCGGAGCGGGGATTTGCTTTTGAGGCTAGGGTTGAAGGGTTTAGGGCTGAAGGCCTACCCTAAACCCTAAACCCTAAACCCTAAAATTCAGGGTTTAGGGTTGAATGGGGTTGAAGGAGCAGACCCGATTAAGGGCTTAGGGTTTATATAGGGTTGGGGTTTAAGGCTTAGGGTTCAGAGTTTATTTTTTGCATTCAATTTCATGGCCTCCTTCTTTTCGTACAGTATGTTGACATATCACTCAACTTACACAGAACAAAAACAATTCGGGTCAGGATCGGGTGCTCGAGGGTTGAGGGTTGCACGGCTTGAGGTGTAGGCCTGAGTTGTTAGGCATTAGGGTTTCCCAGATAATTACGACAAGCGCTTCTTCAACTGTTGAAGGTGCTGTGGGGTGTTCGAACCCTGAACCCTGAATCCTAAACCCTAAGCCCTGAACCCTACCCCTCGCCCAAGTCCCTCAACTGTGAGCCTTGCGGAAGCCCTCCGCCTCAAGCTGGAAAATGTGGGCGCTCTGTGTGCCGCAACCTGCACGGCATGGGGGGTTTAGGGATTTAGGGTTTGTATACTGCATGGCATGTGTACGTGCATGTATACAGTATACAACTATGTATATATACATGTATAGGGTATCGCCGCCCATGAGATGTCCCCATGTTGAAAGGGACTGTTCAGAAGCTGTGTAACATTCAGCTTCCCATGTTGTGCCCTAAGACTCTCTCTAAACCCAAACCCTGAACTAACCCTAAACCCTTTCCCAGCCTTTAACCCATTGAATGAAAACATCCTTCTACTTTCTTCGTGCGGAAATTTCTGAGCCCTAAACCCTTGAAAGGATGACAAGACCGTGTCATCTTTTTTGCCCTGTGCCAGCCTCGAACGCCCAAGTTTAAAACACTGGGCGGGGGGAGTTCAAGGGGGCTATAGGGCATCTAACAATCGAATGCTCCCCAGTAACCCCCTCTCTCTCTCTCTCTCTCTCACGGCCATCGGACGAGTTCGCGACCAAGCCGAGCAAGCAGCACAGAGGTTGCGCCGCATCTGTCTCTAGGACTAACCCGCGGCCCCACCGCAGGAGACGACATGGGAACGGTTGACCGTGACAACCCACCAGACCAGCAAGCTACAGTCCAGCGAGTCATCACTCAAACTTGCCGTCAGTGGCACAAAAAGGGAGCTACATCTACGGACTGACTTCAGTGGTGGCTCAGCAACCCCCACAAACTTACATAGGTTCTAGTTGGGGAAATTCGGAAAGCCCCAGACCTGTTGAGTCGGATTGATTTTTTGAGGGGAGGGAAGGGCGGGGGATGGAGAGGGTTGGGGTTGGGGGACAGCGCAGCTTTCCCTAAGGGACTCTTGCTGCTAGGTTTTAGGGAGCCGAAGATGATACAGCGGAGAAGGATTGGGTTTGGATTTCAGGGCTTAGTGTTTAGGGTTCAGGGTTTCAACTCATGCATGGGCTCTTCACGCCCCAGCCTAGGCGGCCGCGATACTCCCAGTTCCTCGGCCAGTGTTCGGTGTACAGCTGGCCATGCTAACCAGCTACAGAAGCGTGCGCAGAGCTTACTTACACCCGAAGCAGCTATATGGTCTATATGGTCACTTGTCTAAAACATGGGCCCTTTTTGGGTTCTTATTATAAGGCGGCCCTTCTGTTTTTTTAGGGTACCCAAAAAGGGACCATGATTTCGAGAACTGAACATGTTTAAAAGCAACTACAGTACGTCGTAGCTCGCCTCCTCACACGAACTCTCGCAACTCCAAGTCTGAGGGTTGTATGGGGTTTAGGGTCTAGGTTGTCCCGTAACCTAAACCCCCAAAAAAGGGGATGAGGGGGTTCGGGTTTAGGCTATAGGCTTTAGGGTTTCGGGTCAAGGGTTTAGGGTGTGTATCAGTGTGCGCGCGCGCGGCTTGCATTGCTCAGCAGCCCCAGCCCCCACCCGAGCTTCTTTTGTAAGGGGTTACCCCCCCAACCCCATTCCAAGGGCTTTCTTGCAGAGGTCAGGGAGGGCAGAGGGGCCAGAAACTGCTCTTTCCCTCAGTCCAGGCATTCGGTCGCCAGCAGAGGGGGGTACCCCTAAAGGGCCGAGCCCCATGTGAATGGCCAGCGGTGCTCTCGTCAGTATAAGGTTTAGGCTTCAAGGTGTTGAGGGTTCTGAGATGGCAGAAGATGCAGAAGAAGCTACAGGTGCCCTAAGCCCCATGGCGCGGCTGGGGTTCAGGGTTTCGGGTGGTCCTAAACGAATAAGCATAATTAGGCATCCCGAAAGGCCTAGGTTCCATAAGGCCCATAAGCCCCAAAATCCCTAAAGCAAGAACCCCATCAGCCCTATGGACCAAAAAAAACGAACTCCCCAAAGCCATGCTGCCTTGTCAACCTGAAAACCCCTGAAAACCCCTGAAGCCCTAACAACACAAATCCTCAAGCCCTAAATCCTTCTAGAGCCAGGAGCCCTAAAGCCCGCTGTAAACCCAATAAACCCTATAAGCATTGGAAACCCAATAGCTCCAAAGCCGGGAATATTAAGCCCTTCAACAACAACCCTCCTCAATCAGCAGTTGTAAGCCTATTGAATGAAGGTCAACATTCAGCCTTGAGCCCGAAGCATTTTTGAGCGCTAAACGCATAACCCCAAACGCTAAACGTTAAACACCTGAACCCCAAGCCCTGTACACGAGACGCGATGCTGCCCCAGGGTCAACCAAAGAGCCGCCTCACTGACCCGCATACCCGGCAAGACGTCCTCTGCAGTTGGGAGCTTCCATACCCCCCTCATTAAACCCTCTGAAAAACATTCCTAGATATGCCCCTCTTGAACCCAATAACGGAAAACCTGGGAGGGGAACTACAGCTAAAGCTGCCCATGCTCATAAACCCTGAACCCTAAGCCCCACCTATAGCTACCCATAAGCCTTCAAGTAGAGCTGATCCTGATCCTTCAAACCCATCTGTTTACTAGGGCTTGCGGCTTGCAGGATTGGTTTACAGCCCTACACCCTAGATGTTTCCATCCAGACATATTTGACACCAGCTAACGGCCCGAACCCCAAGAACCTTCATTTTCGTTTGTTAATGGTGAGCTCCTTTCTACGTCAGCAGATCAGTGAGCAGTCTTTGGCAAGTCGGTGTGCAAAAGAGAGCCTACAGGGTGTAGGGTCTAGTGGGGTGGGGGAGGGTGGGGCAACCTACGACAGCAAGAAGTTCCCTTTTGCCACATCGTTTACATTCACGAGAGGAGTCCTAAACATTAAAGCAAGAAATCAGAGTACTACCGGGCATCCTAGTAGAGTCCAACCTCCAAACAGCCCTAACCGCCATACACCATAACGAAGGCAGATTGCCCGCTGCCAGGGTTTGTATAGGGCTTTCCTAAACCCTGAACCCTGAACCCTAAACCCTAAACCCTAAACCCAAAACCCCCCCCCCCCCCCCGCCCGAAAAGGTCCTCGACAAGGTGAGGAGTCTCCTCCCAGCTGTAGTGCAACTTGCCGTCTCGAACGAAGTACATCAAGTCACCCTTGGCACCTCGCGCGAGTCTCAGAAGTTGGGGGTTTAGGGTTTAGGGGGGTAAGGGGCGTTTAGGGGGGTTCAGGCGGGTTCAGGTGGGTTCAGGGTTTAATTAGGGTTTAGGGTTCAGGGTTTAGGGTTTAGGGTTTCGGGTTTCGGGTCTAGGGTTGGGGGGGGGGCCTTCAGAATAGGAGGATTTAGGGTGCTTAGGGCTTTTAACATTTCGGGTTTTCAGGATTTAGGGGAAACGCATGTTAGGCTCATCTTTTCTTGAGTTCAGGGGAGTCTGCAGATCAGAGCCACTCGGAGGGACATGGTCTTGTGGGCTTCAGGGTCTTCAACCCTTAAGCCCGCACCTAAGCCCTTGCACGCTCAAACCTTACCACCCTAAATTCCTAATAAGCCCCAAACCGATACCCTAAACCCTGAGAGCCTCAGACCTCTGACGTGAACCCTGTAGCCCTACAGCCCTCAGCCCCGCCTAACCCAAACCCAGACAAGCCCTCCCCTTTAATCCTCCCAAACTGTTTGGGGTCCCTTATCATGGGATGTCAGTGGGGTTTCGGGTTTAGGGTTCATAAGCTTGAGGGTTTAGGGGTTAGGGATTGAATTCCTGGTTGGGGTCTGATTAGTTAGGAGGGTTGGGGCTTTAAGGGTTTTGGGGTAGGGACCTCATATTGAGCCCAAAAACCCTAAGTTCTCCGCCTTGAACCCTAAACCCGAGCCTTAAACCCTAGGGTTTAGGGTTTAGGGTTTAGGGTTTAGGGTCTCTAAACCCACCATGGCACCGGCTTGGAAAAGCTCCTCCCTGTAGACCACGCTCAGCTCCTTGAGGGCGTGCGCGCACAGCGGAGCAATGTCGCCGTAGTTGATCAACGCCGCATGGCGGATCATGCCATGCGTCTCCTCAGCGGGCGTAGGGTGTAGGGTGTAGGGTTTAGGGTTTAGGGTTTAGGGTTTAGGGTTTAGGGTTTAGGGTTTAGGGTAATAACAGCAGTTAGTCGACATTCTTGCCGACCCTTCGTGACCTCCAAATGGTTTGTCTACCTTCGTCGGACTATTTGGGGCCAAGCTGCCAGTTCAAACCTCTCATCCTTCACTCTAGGCCGTAAGCCCTGATACGGGAGTTAGTGTGATCAGTGCTTGGGGGGGGGGGGGGGGGGGGGGGGGGGGGGCGTGAGACTTGAAAGCAACAAGACACAGCGAATTCCATTCCAACCCTGGCAGGGCGAAACCACCACATGCACAAATACATGAATAACATAAACATTTTATTCATAATTTTATATATATGTATTCATTCATTGATTCATTCATTTATTTTTGTATTTTTTCATATCTTGATTTATGTATATATGTGATCAGTTCTCTCCTCAGGGTTCCAGCACCTAATTAAGCCCTGAGCCCTCAGCTAAACAAAATGAAGTCTAAGCCCCTCCAAAAAAAGCTGCAAAAGAAAAAAGACAAAGCCCTAAACCCCTAAACCCCAAACCCGAAAACAAAAGCCCTAAACCCCAAACCCTAAACCCTAAACCCTAAACCCCAAACCCTAAACACCACCAAACCCCAAACCCTAAGCCCCAAACCCTAAGCCCCAAACCCTAAACACCACCAAACCCTAAACCCTAAACCCCAAACCCTAAGCCCCAAACCCTAAACCCCAAACCCTTCCGAGGGTCCAGGATGGGCATCCCTACCTCCTGCTTCAGCGCGCTGCGCACCTCGAGGGAAGCCAGCAGAGGGTTTAGGGTTTAGGGTTTAGGGTGCAGGTGCTCTCTTTGAGACCCAAGTCATGGTTTAGTTCGTTGAGGGTGTTTTGGGTTTAGGGCTTTGAGTGTGTTTTGGGTTTAGGGTTTAGGGACTTAGAGTTTAGGGTTTGGGGTTTGAGGGGTTTAGGGTTTAGGGCTGTTTGGGCTCGAGGGCGAACGGGTAAAGGCTTTAGGGTGTAGAGGGCTTAGGGCCTTATGGCTGGACAAATAGGGTTTGTAAGGTTCAGGGCGTATAGGATTCGGGTTTATAGGGTTTAGGTCTTGTGGGGTTTTTCGGCTTTCTGGGACTTGTAGGGTTTATGGGGTTTATAGGGCTTACAGGGCTCATCGTGTTTAGTAGGGGCGAACTCTGTCAGTGATCCGTATCTTTCCCTTTTCTTTAAATGGGAATATAAGCGAAACCATACAGGGCGTCTTGAAGTCAGATTTCAACTTATGGCCTTAAACGTACTTTAGGGATAGGACCCCGTCTTGAAGCGAAAAAGCATGCTACCACCAAAACATCAGGATAAAGGAAAAGCTTACATGCGAACGGCTGTATTCAATGGCTTCATGCACTAAGCTTGTCAACTAACCAAGAAACGCGTGCGGTTCTTTTGTGGGTCCAGGTGTCGCCTGTTTGCGTGAATCTGAAGCCTAGGGAAAACTGGTAAACTGCGGAATCCCTCATTCAGGCAGATAAGCAGACGAAGGCACTGTGAGGTAAATTCTAGTGACTCTAGTGGTTTGGCTTGGGGGCATAGAAGCAGATGAGGAGAAAAAGGACCAAAATCAATGCCCTAATTAGGGCAGTTACGATGGTCCTTTGCTACACGCCCAAAAAACCTCGGAACCCTAGACGCTTGCACGCTCCTTTACACAGTGGGTTCTTGTGAGCTCTTGCGCTCGTCGCCCGCACCTTGTCGGGAAGGTGCTGCAAGGCGGGAATGTCGCTGAAGACCACCTTACCTTGAACCAATTGTATGATTGTTTAGAGATTAGGTTTGGGGTTTGGGGTTTAGGGTATAGGTGTCGGATAACCCCTGCAAAACTGTACTTTTGTATAACCCCCGAAAAGACCCAATTCTCTTTCTATGATGACAAAGATAGGGGTCGTAACAATTACGACTAGTATTCACAACAGAATTGCGCGATGATAACCGCCCCCGAAGCCCTGTTCCAATTTTGAAGGTCCTAGAGTACCCCCTGCTCTCTGTAGCTCGACGAAGCCATAAACCCCAAACCCTAAACCCTACACCCTAACCCCAAAACCCTAGACCCTAAACCCTAAACCCCAAAACCTAAAGCGAGTCAGAAGGAGAAATGCCAAGCTCCCCGCACCCGGCCCACATCCCCAAATCACCAAAATCCCTGACAATATCTTGGCAAGTCCGACAACCCCTCCGAAGTCTGGGTTCAGGGTTTAGGGTTTAGGGTTTAGGGTTTAGGGCTTAGGGTTTAGGGTTTAGGGCTTAGGGTTTAGGGCCCTTAGTAAATGCCCCTGAGACCCTGAGACCCTCAGAGCGTAAACCCCTAAGCCCACAAGTCCCCGAAGGCATAGTAGCCTGGGTTGCATTCGGGATGTGTAAGTCCGGCTACCAAGCACAGCCAATTAACAGGGTTTCGGGCTTTGGTGCAGGCAACCCGAGATCCGAAGCCCCTGAGCCCTAAGACCCCGAAGCGACTACATATGTGGGCCGCACTGTGGGCCTCCCGTGGCCCCTAAACCCTAAACCCTAAACCCTAAACCCTAAACCCTAAACCCTAAACCCTAAACCCTAAACCCTAAACCCTCGAAGCCGAAACAAGGAAAAGTGCTTAAGCATGAGGCCTCTGAGCAGAGTTTAGGTTGGGGGTTTCGGGTTTTGGGTTTAGGTTTTTTTTTTTTTTTTTGGGGGGGGGGGGGGCAGCACAGGATGAACCCCTGATGCCTAGACCCTGAAGCCTGAAAACTGCTGTGGACTAAGGACACACTTGGCTGCACTTAGGAGGGCAGTTATAAACTAAATTTTTAGCTGCCTTTTGAAGAAACCCAATAAACCCAAAAGGCTGAGGATCTAAAGTTACAGTATAAAGCACCACAAAGAAAACCTCCAGGGGTTCCGAGTAGGCGTTCTGGAACCGGCAGAACTTCAAAACCGCAAGCCCTCAACCCTAAACCCATGCCGAAAACCAACCCCAGTGACCCCAGTGATCCTAAGCCCTAAACCTAAACCCAAAGCCTGAACCCCAACCAATGAGTCGCAGGGGCTTGTCTCTCGGCCAATACCACGCTGCCGTATGCAGCGGAGGATGTCCGCCGAGAGCTCTACGGACACACGCTTCCTTGAGTTCAGGGTTTAGGGCTTTACCCCAAGGCTCCAAGGACTCTTACTTTAAGGTTTTTGGGCCCCAAGGCCTTGCTATGACCGATTCTTGGGTCATTTTGAGTGTAAGGGTTTAGGGTTCTGTGGAGGACTTTGTCAGAAGGTTTAGGGACAGGGGCGCTCATGTTCGGTACTAATTACCTCTGACTCAAAGTGAGAAGAATTCACCCAAAACCCTTTCCCAGAAATCAATTCGTACGGACCCAGTAAACAACGGACCATAATCTGGAGAACCGACCATGCAACTCCTGAAGGCGAGAGTCTCGGTCACGTAGCGTCTTACGAGCTGGCCAGTTCGCACCTCTTGCGCGGTCAGTGTGCTCAGCCGTGCAAGCGACCTTTGGTTGCTGTTGGCTTTAGGGCTCTGAGTCTGAGCTTACGGGCATGGCCTTGCAAAAGCAAAACGTTCACCTTTTAGCTATTGTAGGCTGTTTGATCCGGAGAGAATTCGGGAGCTCCCCTTAAACCCGGTATAGTGGTGTCTGCCTTGCGATTTGCGTGCGCACAGCGACAAAACATCTTCCTTGATCTGCCATGGAACTGGTTGATGGAGCCGATGAAGAAGCTGAACATGATCAATCCGGAGAGCGTCGCAAAAAGTGAGAACAGGCGCTCGGATGTATTGACCGCAACCACGTCCATCGCCGCTGGGGTGAACTGAGTGAGTGCCCAGTGAAGTGACAGCGCATACATGAAGAACCACTCTGTCTCGGCCGGTAGATTCAGCCGCTCCTTGTACGTGACAATCCATGTCATGTCATCTGCCGATAGGTCGCCCAAGGCAAACCTGTGGATGTGTGTGAGAGGGAGGGGGGGAGGGGGGAGTTGTCGGGGTGGCGGTTCAAAAACACAGCTGTACATCTACACCTTTGGAGTTGCTTGCTTGCGGGCATGGCACGCGCATGACGAATGATGCTGCGCTGCTTCGAACCCTAACCATACAGGCCCCCAAAGACCCTGCTTAATTGGTGGGCAAAGGCTCCTGCAAGGCCCACAGGCCCTCCGACTCCGACCTCCAAGCCCCAAGCCCCTATTCCCTGAATGTGTGGAGTTTAGGATGAAGGATGTATAAGCAAAAGCCGAAGTGCAAATAACCCTGAAACTTAAAAATCCAAAAGCAATCCATTTCAGACCGGGACACCAGGCGCAAGCGGTGAAGTGGCAAAGCAGCGCTATGATGGAAATGTGTTTCAGCACCGTGAGCAATGTCTCCACGTAGAGCGACGTCCACTCCAAACCCATATTCCTGAACTTCAACTAGATCCCAAAGCAACAGGGTTTAGGGTTCAAGGTCGGAATACAAAGGGTAATTACCCAAGAATTACCCTGCTTCAAGAAGTTTATTACAGCGTTTGCAAGTCCAAGTCGGTCCAACGGAATGTTAAAGAAGCATTCTACTGAAAATCGCGAAAAGTCGTCATCTTCTTGACTTCTAAGCTCGGAAGGCAAAATGAGGAGCAACAACAGAACGTGTACAAACTTCATGCGACTCCTTTCGGGTAAAACACTAGCTAGATGTTGGAGGGTTTCGCTTGTAAAGTAAATAGATGTTGACCAGAGCTCACGCAGGTATGGATAAGCGAGCTTGGTACTACATTGCGAGCAGTCCGCAACTTTAGGACAAACACCCTTGACCTCTAGTAGCCTCACCATATTGTAAGAAGGGTACCCAGTTTTGGGTTGGTTACTATATAAGGAAACTTTGAACGTAAACAAGTAAAAGGGTACCACGTAGGCTACCAAGGCGGGTTCCGGAGCCTACCCCTGGTATTGGGGGAGCTCTGGGATTAGGACTTAACAGCTTAGAGAGATAATCTAGGAGTCGGAATGATTACGAATTGAATTATGGTCCTTGAATAACCCCCAAAACCCTCTGATCATCATGAAGGCCCCTTTCTTGGTTGGTTTGTGCTTGCGAGCTTTCTTCGTTACTTTGGGTTCAGTACATGCCTGACACTCGGCGATGAACACAGAGGACTCATGCCATTAGTTCCAGACCCTGGTTCTTGGAGTACTATACTTTAATACTTTTTTTTCGGTTCTGGGTTCCTGTTATAGCTACTTATTAGGGTTTAGGGTTTAGAGTTTAGGGTTCTTCCTAAAAAGGTATCTACCTTTTTCCAGGGTCTACTCCAAAGTAGGGGACCAGTTCTCACCTCAAGCCCCAGGCCGTAGAGCCTGACCCTAAACCCTAAACACACAAGATTACCTCTTTCATGTGCGTATCCCTAAACCATCTAAGCCCTTAAGCCCTTAAGACCTGGAACCCTAAAGTTATTGGGGCCGAAGGGTCAGCCCAAGAACCATATCATAACAAGGTCACCCGTTCTTGGGTTGGCTACTGTATAACGAACCCATTCAAACACCCTAAACCTTAAACCCGAAACCCCAAACCCCAAATCCTAAACCCTAAACCCTAAATCCTAAACCCTAAACCCTAAACCAAGGGTACACCTGGGCTACCAAGGGTCAGTCCAAGAACCAGCTCCTTGATCAGGGACAGACGCCCTGCCATCTTCAACCTGCTTAAAGTCGCGGAGACTCGGGGGTTTTAGGGGGGTTTAGGGTTTAGGGTTTAGGGTTTAGGGTTTAGGGTTTAGGGTTTAGGGTTTCGGGTTTGGGGTACTTTTTTGGGTCCTGCTTAGAAGGGAATCCCACCATTTGAGCGGACATATTAGGGAAGGTTTTGCGGGTTGGGATTCACGTATGATGCAGTCAAGTATCCCAAAAAGGACGTCACCATGTACACTCACCCTGCCTTCACTCACCAAAGTCTCTGACAAAGACCCTAAGCCCTAAACCCTGAATCCTAAGGCCACACATGAAACCCGGGTTTAGGGTTTAGGGGTTTGGGGCTTAGGGTTTGGGTTTTAGGGCTCAGGGTTAGCATGCAGGGGCTTAATTAGGGTTTAGGGTTCGTGTGTTTCTATGACTATTATTTGGACCCTTCTCATTGCAAGCATTGTGAATATCCTTCTGCAGGGTGATAGGCCGAACCCCCGTCCGCCACATGCAGAGGGATTGGAACTTCTTACTGTCGGTTAGTAGGGAATGAGGGAATGAGGTCCCCCCCCCCCCCCCCCCCCCCCCCCCCCCCCCCCCCCCCCCCCCCCCCAACGCTAATCCCTAAACCCTAAACGCTAAACCCCAAAATCCTAAACCCTAAACCATAAACCCTTCAAGGGATTATATTGGGTACCTCATTCCCTCATTCCCTACTAGCCAACAGCAAGACTTAGGTTGAGCCAGCATCGCTGATTGGCTTGCTGGAACTCGGGTTTAGGGTTCAGAGCTTTGGCTTTAAGGTCTTAGGGCTTCCCTAAGCCCTAAACCCTAAACCCTAAACCCTCATCCCTTGTAGGAGTCTTGGGCTTAGGGGGTTGGTGGCCCTTCCAGATGGTTCTCGTCGTGCCGAACCTCTTAGTTGCCAAGCATCAGGCTGCGGGCCCCTAGAAGGGACCCTGAATCCGATTCCCCGATATAACCCATATATATATATATATCTCTACATATATGTATATATATATATATATATCTACATATATATGTATATATCTACATATATGTATATACCTGATAGAGTCTTATAGAGTCCCTATATACCTAAGTAGCCCGTACATTACCCCTAAGGTCCCTTCCTCCTTTCGTCCCCTGACGGCCTAAATCCTGAAACGGTACATGTAATGTTCGGGGCTTGTTGGCTACAGATGGTGAAACGGTCTAGGATTGTGGTTCACGATCAAGCACGGTATTGTTGGTTAGGGCAGATTGGGAGCGCGCCTAACCTTAAAACCTCAGAGCTCAAACCCTGTATGCCTTCCAGAATGGGAGCTTTCGAGTGAAGAAGCTTGGCAAGATGTAAGACTGATGGCTTAATTAGGGCTTTGTTCATGAACCTGGCCCTACAGTTCTAATCCCAACTATGCTCATGAATGAGGCCCAACCCTAAACCCTAAACCCGAAATCCTAAACCCTAAACATATGTATCCAAGCAGCAGCCGAAACAGCCGTAGGTTCCGGAACAAGCGCAGCAGCGTCAATGTCTCCACCGTGCGGAGGTCGAGAATAAACCTTGCAGAACCCCCCCTCCCCAGCAAGCAACCTAGCTTGCTAACCCTGAAGCCTACTAGCTTCAAGAATAGGGGCACCCTTTTTTGGGTTGGTTACTTTATAAGGGAACCCATAACCAAAAAAGGGGGGTAAGGGTACCACTGCTACAAGGACGAAGAAGTGAGAGGTCGCTTCCGTCGAGTGACGGACCCATACTGCTTGACCATCACAGGCGTGAACCCGATGCAAAAAAGGGGGACAAACAAAGGTGAGGGTGCATCTCACCGTGCTGCACAGGCCAGCGTTTAAGGCCTCATTGACGATATTTCCTCCTCGGCAAGAGGGACGGCCGAGTCTGGACCACCTCCGGCGCAGCTGGCGTCTCACGATGCCTTGACAACTTTCTCGTTCTTGTCTGGCACAGGATTAGCGACTTTGTGGGCCAAGCCAGGACAGGTTCAATTCTCGTCTGGTTGTCAGCCCACGGCTACGTCTCGCACCTGCGCGCACTTGCCAGACAAACCCTGACAGTCGCCAATTAGGGTTTAGGGTTTAGGACCCTGAACCCTTGAATCCTAAGCCCATAAACTCGGCGTTGGGATTCAGGGCTTGGACGTAGAAACATCAGGCGGCAGAGAACACCAGCTTGTACCTTGACTTCCCCCCATAACAGGTCCTAAGTACCCATGGGGGACACTTACCCAAACCATAATCGAAATTCCTATTGTAGGAACCCTACTTTCTAAACCCTAAACCCTAAACCCCAAACCCCAAACCCCAAACCCTAAACCCTAAACCTGAACCCCAAACCAAACCCTAAACCCTAAACCTACATGTAGGTTCTTAGGTCCCTTTGGGAAGTGAAGCCTACAGACCCTCAGTCGCATCCCGTGGTCTTGTTCAGATGAACCAAGGCCCTGAATCCGAAATCCCAATCACCCTAAACCCTAAACCCTACACCCTAAACCCTAAACCCTAAACCCTAAATCCTAAACCCTAAACCCTAAACCCTATACCTGCACTTCTAGACTGTCCAAACCCTGAACCCCGAACCCTAAATGCAGCTGAGGGACAGAGACATGATGTCCGAGGACAGCATGGCTATATCCGGCAGAAACCAGCCGGTGAGGTAGTTGACGCCAATGTTTCGCAAGCGCATCTCAACGAATCCTGCACACGGCATCTTCTTTAGGGTTTAGGGTTTAAAGTTTAGAGTTTGAGGACCCAAGGCCTAGTTTTGCAGGTTACCTGAAAACCCTGCCAAGGGCTCCTCTTGGGTTTGTTTAAACAAAAATACAAAATAATTGCCCAGGGGGATCTAGGTACACCCCACACCCTGACCCCTTCAGGATCGGATTCGGCCGCTCCAATCGCTCTGCCAAGGTGGCAGCATTGGGGTGCAAACTTGCGGGTGGATGTGGCATTTAGGGCTTGGGGAGGCTTATGGGGTTTATTTCCCGAAGCCCTAAACCCTAAACCCTAGCCGCGAACCCCTAACCCCTAACCCCTAAATCCTAAACTTAAACCTTAAACCCTGAACCTAGGCTTTGCTTAGGGTTTTAGGGCTGTAGGGATTCGAGAGCTCTAGGGTTCTTCGCTTTAGGAAACGCTCCTAAACCCTTCGACCTGAACCCAAAGCAGGGTTAGGGTTTAGGGTTTAAGGACTCGACACCCTAAAGCCCTCAGTCAACCCCCCTACCAAGAAACATGACTCAAACGTGCAGCCCCCTGGATAGGGTTCCAGGTATGGGCCCGCAATTTGGGCCCCCTGTTCTATAACCCTTCTTTTCACCAAACGTAACCAGGGCCCGTACTTCAGATCCCTATAAACAAGGGTAAGGGACCATACCAAGGGCCCTTGGTTCCAACCTTAGATTGAAAGTTCCAGTTTTCGTCGGCACTTCGAGGAAAGGCCAGTGCAGCACTCAGGGCTTGCCCTCACAGGGCTGTATCAGGTGAACCCTAGAATCTAGAACGGTTTAGGCTTAGGGTTTATAGGGTTGAGGGTTAACTAAACCCTAAGCCTTCCTAGGAACCTTCTGAATGTCATTTCAAGAACACTGCTTCATGAAGGGGTTTTGGAAGCTCTGGGGCTCGAGAGACCTGCATTGGTGCTTATGTCAGCAAGTCGCCGGACTTGCAAGCAGGTGCCCTAAACCCTAGACCCTAAACACTCAAAACCATTTGTAGATCCAACCCCTATGGTAAGGCTGCTTATCAGCTACTTAGAGGACTTAGGTTGCTTACAAGCACAGATATGATTGGGATCCTAAACCCTTAAACCCTTAAACCCTAAACCCTAAACCCTGAACCCTAAACCCTAAACCCTAAACCCTAAACCCTAAACCCTGAACCCTGAACCTCCAAGTAGCACTGCATGCCAGGGCCTGTACGTGGGTCGATGAACCCTCGAAGGAATGTAACCAGGACGTCCT